TCTAATTGTTACTGGCAAAATGTGACATGTAACCTCAAACATTTAGGCCTCTATGGGCAAAAATGAAAACAAAACTCACAAAAAGTATGTCCCACCTTTTCATCGTTCTTCGCTTCTAAAGCGTTTGCTTAACCATAGATAAAACTCCTCGACCGTGTCTGACTATAGATCTCATTTTTGATGAGTTGCTCCATCATTCCGGTCTTCATGAACCTGAGGATGTCACTATCACTAGATTTCTTAATGGCCTACAACCCGACTTCAAACACCACGTCAATGTGCTCAGTCCTTTTTCCTTAAAAGACGCCTATCACAAAGCCCTTGAATATGAGAGGTACTCTCGAGTACCTTACACTCGAAGGGGCCCTTAGAACTTTGTGAACCCTCGCCAACCCCATCCTAACCTATCCACCACTCTTAGTAATATCCCAGCACCAACTTAGTCTCATATAGTTGTTGGGTCTTCATCACCATCACCTTCACTTTCCCAAGAGATCAATAAAAGTCGACCTTCTTACGCCGCTTCCTCATGTATTGCTAACCCTTCAATCATGTGTCATCATTGTCATAATCGTGGTTATACGACATCTCAATGCCTTTATTGTACCATCGTCGTTAATCAAGAACCACTACTTCCAATACCGAAAACCAATGAACATTTTACAACCGATCCTGTTGACCATTCTGATGAGGACCTCAATTAATTTAAGTGTCACGAAGAGGATCAGACTATTGTTTCAATCATTAGATGCATCTTCTCCACCCCTATAGACTCAGTTTCTTGGAAAAAGACATCAATTTTCCATACATACATCCCATGTAACTCTCGCTCTTGCAAATTAGTAATTGACGGGAGTAGTACTATAAATGCCCATTTTTACCTCAGCTGTAACCAAGTTCAGCTTCAACCCTGAACCCCACCCTCGCCCTTTTAAGGTTGCATTGGTTGAAAAGACTTCTTCGCCTATCACTCATCGTTGTTTTGTATCCCTAACGTTTAGTCTATTCTACTCAGAGGACCTCTACTGTGACATTCTACCTATGGATCTTGCTCACATCCTTTTGAGGCGCCCTTGGCTTTTACGATCACGATGTTAAGCACTTTGGGCGTGATAACGCTTATAAGTTTGTCCATAATGGTAAACCTATTCGGTTTCTTCCATCCAAACCACTTGACTCTCCAAAGAGATCACTACCTAAAACAAAACCCACTTGTGCTACAACTACAAACAGCTAAATTCAGCTCTTGTCCCATAAGGACTTAAAGCATGAAGCGCACAACATCGGGTTGATGTTTGCGTCCCAACCTACTTTTGAACTGACCTCTAATCGTCCCCTTGTTGTCACTCTGTTGCTATAGGAGTTTATCGATGTCATGCCAGATGACCTACCCAATGAGCTTCCCCATTCGGGATATTCAACATGCAATTGATTTGGTGTCGGGATCACAATTACCAAATGCCCTCCCTATAGGATGAACCTGGAAAAATGGGTCGAGCTAAATAAACAAGTTGAGGCATTATTATCTAAAGGTTTTATTCATCATAGCCTTAGCCCTTGTGCAGTCCCCGTCCTCCTTACTCCAAAAAAAGACGAATCTTGGCGTATGTGTGTTGATAGCTGTGCCATTAACAAAATCACTATTAAATATCGATTTCCCATTCCACGCCTCGATGACATGTTGGATGAGTTAGCAGGATCGTTTTGGTTTTCTAAAATAGATTTAAGAAGTGGATATCACCAAATCAGGATTAGACCAAGGGATGAATGGAAAACGGCCTTTAAGACACATAATATGTTATATAAATGGCTAGTTACGCCTTTAGGAATGTCTAATATACCTAGCACTTTTATGAGAGTAATGAATCATGTCTTCTGACCTTTCATTGGAAAATTTCTCGTGGTCTATTTTGATGACATATTGATTTACAGTAAATCACGAGAGGACTACTTAGATCAACTGAGACAGGTCTTCCTTACACTTCTTTCTACCAAATTGTACGCTAACTTTAAGAAGTGTTCCTTTCTAAAATCACAAGTCCTATTCTTAGGATTCATTATCTCTACTCAAGGGATTTCTACCGATCTAGTTAAAATCTCTGTAATTCGTGATTGGCCAGAACCTACAACTTTTAGTGAGGCCTGTAGCTTTCATGCATTAGCTCTATTACCATCCTTATTGCTGAGTGCATGAAAAAAGGGGATTTACATTGGACACCATCCACAAAAAATGCATTCATCACAATTAAGCAAAAGTTGATTGAAGCTTCCATTTTACACCAACCCGATCTCTCTAAAGTATTTGAAGTGGCATATGATGCTTCTGGTATCGATATCGGTGGTGTATTAAGTCAAGAGGGTCACCCTATGCTTATTTTAGTGAGAAATTCAATCAGGCATGGTTGAAGTATTCTACTTATGACAAAGAGTTCTATGTTGTCGTCCAAGCTCTTTATCACTGGCGTTATCATTTATTGCCCCAAGAGTTTATTCTTTACTTTGATCATCAAGCCCTCTGTTATCTCAATTTCCAACGTAATTTGAATGATCGACACATTAAGTGGGTAGAGTTTCTTCAAGAGTTTACATTTGTACTCCACCATCGCGCTGGGGTTGACAACAAAGTAGTTGATACTTTTAGTCGTATTACTACTGTACTCCAGATTATGAGTACTACGATGGTGGGTTTCGAGTATTTGAAAGATTATTATCCTAGTTATCCTGACTTCGGTATCATTTTTCAAGACCTCGTAACTAACTCCTCTCGTAATCATGTTGCTTTCTTGCTTAAATAGGGTTATCTTTTTAAAGGTAACAAGTTATGTATCCCTCGTACCTCACTTCGTAAGTTCCTCATTTGGGAACTACATACAGGTGGTCTCGTAGGTCACTTTGGTTAAGATAAAATTGTTGCCTTAGTTGAAGATAGATTTTATTGGGCTTCCCTTAAAAATGATGTGGCTCACATTGTGTCTCAGTGTCATACTTGTCAATTAGGTAATGCCCAACGTCAAAACATGGGGATGTACTTCCCAACCTGTTCCTCATACTCCTTGACGTGACCTTAGCATGAACTCTGTCCTAGGGTTGCCTAAAATTGCAAGAAGTTATGATTCCATTTTCTTTGTTATGGATAGATTCTCTAAGATGGCCCATTTCATTCTTTGTTCCAAGTCTACGAACGCATCATATATCGCTAAGTTATTCTTCAAAGATGTTGTTCGTCTGCATGGACTGCTAGTCAATATTGCTTCTGATCGAGATGTTAAATTTGTTAGTTACTTTTGGAAAACTCTGTGGAAATTGTTTGGGACAACTCTTAAGTTTTCATCAACATTCCACTTCCAAACAAATTGTCAGACAAAAGTAGTAAATTGTAGTTTAGGTAATTTGCTTTGTTGTTTAGTTGGGGAAAAATCGGGTAATTGGGATTTAATATTACCTACCACTAAATTTGCATACAATAATTCTGTCAATAGGTCTATCGGTCATCGCCCATTTGAGATTGTTCAAGATTTCTCCCTACGTCAACCACTAGATCTCGTTCCTTCACCTATTGATTTTCGTCATGCTGCATCTGCTCAATTTTTTACTGATCATATTCGTACCTTGCATGATGAGATTAAAAGAAAAATTGCTTTAATTAATGATCAGTATAAAATGACAGCTGATGCACATCGTAGGCATAGAGAGTTCAAGATTGACGATTTTGTTATGATAAGACTTGCACTTAAACATTTTCAAAAACATGCTGCAAAAAAACTTTGTGCTAGGTCACTTGGTCTTTCCCTGTTATTAAAAGGCTTCGAACTAACACTTATCTACTTGATTTGTCGACGCACTTAAATATTAGTCTTGTTTTCAATAGAGCGGATTTATATCCTTATCGAGGCACATTCGAGCCTTCGATTTTGTCTTCTAACATGTCTGTAGGACAAGTTTCTCAATCGCTCCCTTGAGCCCCTATCACCACATTCTCGCATCAGGATATTATTGATGAGGTGCTCGACGATGAGATCATTGCTTCCCAAAATGGGAATTTTCATAGGTTCCTTGTGTGTTGGAAAGGTTGTCCAGTTAGTGATCCTACTTGAATTAATGAAGAATAATTTCGTCAATTGGATCCAAGGCTTTTGGATGCTTACTTGGACTATACATAGTCGGAGTCGAGTTCTTCTCAACTTTGGAGGAATAATGCAACAAGGAAACAATTAAAAGTCTATTCAAGACGAAAGACTAATAATTAGTAGAATTCAAATTTATCTAGATTATAGCAATTTTATTTTGACAATGTTATCTTTTAGTTTCAAATTTGTTTAGATAGGAAGTTTATTTAATTTTAAAGTCATTCCTATATAAAGGGACTTAGGGCAATGTGTACAAACACACGTGAATTATATGAATAAAAGCATTCCTCTTGCCCTCAATTCTTCTCCGTGATCTCCCTTATTTCTTATTTGTTCTTTATCAATTTATATGCTTCTGCATCAAAAAAGTTGTAAGTACGTGATTCAAAATTAATTCGAGAACTTAGGTTAAAAATTTTAATTCTCTATTCTTGATATAACATACATGTGAATGTCTAGACGACATTGTTTATTGAATTAAAAAAAAAATTTAATTTCTGGACAATTATGCTTTCGTATTCCAACAATTTTTTTTAAAAAAAATCATATAAATAATAAAAAGTGCAAATATTTTTCTTATTTCAAATTATAAAAATAAAATATTTTTATATAAATCATCGTCAAAGACATAAAAAATTGAAATAAAAATTTGATGAAAAATTAAGAAAAATGATTTTTACGGTGAGCAAACATTGAAAATTTGAAGAGCAACTAAAATATAAGCTTTGTTTAATTCTTATTTTTTTTCAAAATATATTTATTTCAATTTTTTTTAATCACACGTTATTCATTAGAATAATATTATACTTTAAAAAAAAAAAAATGTAATTTTCATAGAGCTCAAACACCGTAGATATCAAAACCCATCATAGAATTATAGAACCCATTTCCCCAAGTCCTCCTTTACTTCTCCCTCTCACTAAATACTCAACCCTTCTCCAACCGGCCCCTTCTCTCTATACATACAGATACTTATAATTGCATTGATTTTGATATATACACGCTTTATATTCTCATCTATAGATACATAAAGTTTTGGGGAAGGTTGAATTGGAGAAGATGAGCAGTGGGGGTAAAGGAGCTACAGCAACAAGTAGTAGGGCTTCGATTCCGGGCAGCGTGAAGAAGACGATCGAGAACATAAAAGAGATTACGGGTCAAAGTCATGGTGATGATGAGATTCATGCTATGCTCAAGGAATGTTCCATGGATCCTAACGAAACTGCCCAAAGGCTACTACTACTCGGTCTTGTTTTCTCTCTTTATACCCACTATTTGCTTTATTTTTCTCTCATCTAGATTGTGCTGTGTGAAGGGTTGTGTTTAATCTCGATTCCCTTTTTGATCTGTAATGTCATTGAGAATTATCTCTTGAACTTGATATTTTGTTTTTCCTCTTTCTAATGGATTCTCTCTCCCCATTTGAGTGTGTGTATTTGTGTTAATGTACATGTATGTTCCTTTTTTTCCTAATATATATAATATATGTAGTAGAACTGATGTAGTCCGGGTTTTTAAGCTAAAAGAAAAAAAAAAATTATAAAAATTTGTGATTACTAGCCTGGGATAAATGTACTAAGCAACTGATCTTGGTTGGCCTTTTTTCGTGTTTTATCTGTATCTACCCCTTTTTCGTTTGAGACAATATCAGATACACCCTCACGAATAAAAAATATCACTAACTTCCATGTTTCTAGATTTGAGTATCAGATGCCCTCCTGACCCCTTTTGGACTATACATCATCTAAATTCAACAAACAGTTGATCTTTTCTTTGCTAGGTAGTTTTAGGTATATCAACCTAATTTTTGGATGATATACGGCTCAAAAAGTTTTAGTGATATTTTTGAAACTTAAGGGGTGCTTCTGATATTGTCTGAAAGGTTAGGGGATGTCTCATACTGGCCCTTTTTGAACACGAAAACAACGTGCTGCATGAATGTTTGTATTTGATCTCGATTTCCTTTTTTATCTGTAGTGGCATTGAGAATTAATGGCTGAATTTGTCATTTTTCTTTTCTGCTTTCTACTGGATTCTCTCATCCTGTTTCCGTGTGTTTGGATGTCTAACATGTATATCCTTTTATTTCCTGATATACTTGTAGTAGAACTGATGCAATCAGGTATTTCTTTTGCACAAATGGAAGTATTGTACAATTTTGTGGTTATTAGCCTGGGGGAGTACTGATGAATATATGAAATATCTGATCTTGGTGGGCCTTTTATGCTTTCACCACTAGGAACAAGTTATTTAGAATTTACTTCTTGGTTTATATCTCGCCTTGCAATTTTCTCGTTTTCAGAAAAACATGACCCCTGGTTGCATTTCGTTTAATGACACTCAAAAGGCCAATTACGGTATTCTAAAGGCCATTTATTATATTTCATTTCCCTTTGATATGTCATTTTTAGTGTGTGTATGTCTCTGTTTCCGTATGCTCTTTGTGTTTATGCATTAATATTTTTTTATATATAATGGAATCAATGCATAGTGAGTTATCTTGAAAAAAGAAGAAAGAAGATTAAGTCCAGAATTTTCCCCCCCTGCTGAATCATAAGGTTTATGCCTTCATTTTTTTGTTTTTATAGCTAAAATGACATCTTTTTGTGCATGTTGGGTACAAGATTTAAAATATGCTGGGAATTGTTGTGGTGGTTACAAAAATGTTGATTTGCATCTAGTTATATGTGATACCTATGGGTCACCTTTGACTTAGTTAACTTTGTGAAAAGCCTAAATTGTAGATTCACTTAGTGGACCTTTTTCTTATCTGAAAATTGGGTTACATGTTAAATTTCAGGCTCTCGTGTGGGACATTGGTGTTTCCTTATGTGGCTATAGCCAAAGATGGGTGGGCTAAGCAATGTTGTTTTACATTATAAGTTTCATAGTTGATATATAAACTGATATCGATTTGATTACTATATGTACTTGAAAAAAGTTGTGATTCATTTATTAGTTTAGCTTTTCCTTGTATGAGTTATATTTCAAGCTGACAAGGACATTTTTTTTTTTTCATATTCTTGTACAGATACATTCCATGAAGTAAAAAGGAAACATAATAGGAGAAAAGAGGTATGGCTACTTTATGATTTTGATGTCTTATGTACAAAATGTTCCCATTTCGTTGACTTCTAAGTATTTGTAATGTACTGATGAAGGATAATTTACTTCTGATTTTCTATGAACATGTTAGATTATTTATGATTTGAAATGTATATGTTGTGGCTTCACGAAAATTTTTTGCAATGAGAACTTATATTTTCAAAGGACAAGAAAGAGAAAAGGGTAGAAAAAGATTGTAGGAAAGAGAGTAATTATTCCAGAATGCATCCAATGACCTTTGTCATGGTTCAACAATCTATCATGTCACGTTCTCTATTAAATTTAATTGATTCTTCCTTTTACCTTGGTACAATCTCAGAAACACGTTGGAAGATAGAGGGGTAGACTAAACTAAAATGGCAAGTGATGGTTGCCAAGGGATCTATTGCTTTGGATCTTCCGGTAAACATAGCAATAAGCCAAACTGGGAGACAACGGAGGATTCATGTAGCTGCTCTGATTTATTGGGAATAAATCAATAATTCATGTCTAAACCATCCAATCTACCCATATATTTTCTGTTTCCTTCAATCATTATAACTAATCACGTATATCTCTGGCCTCTTTTCAAATTGTGTAATGACAATTGATGTTTTAAGCAAGGTATTTTGAGTCCAGTGAGGAGGATATGAAAACTTGTATTATCTTGTAAGAAAATGATAGAAACAAATATCTTGGCTAATGGAAAAAAAGGTAGAGATCTTAGTTGAGCATATAAAAAGATGAAAATCAAGTAGTTTTATTCCTTAGCAATGAGATCTCATGGAGGATATATTTTGACAAATTATTTAAAGAAAGGCGATGTTGGGTATTTGATGAAGTCAACTATAGATAGAATGTTATTATACTATAAGAATTCAATTTTTGTAGAGGATTGATTGTATAAAGAGGACGAGGATGATACAAAAAATTAGCCTATATAGAATTCCAATGGGAAATATGGAAATGTACGAGGGAGGTGGGTATTTTATGTTCACAGTGGAGAATCACTTTTTATTTATTCGAGGAAGATCTAATGTGGAAGCCATGCACCTGATGCTTGGACCATTATTGAGAACTATAGAGAAAATAATATGTAGAATTGTTTTTTTATTAAGTTAGAGAAGTCCATGATGGGCGCTAGGGAAGACTATGGTGAGTGGTAGAAAGAAAATGGATTTCTACTATATATATTGACATTATTAAGGATGTGTATGATGAAACAGTCGCGAAAGTGTGATATCATGGTGGTAATAGTAGGGGATTATTTTTCCTTGTTCACTAATAAATCGATTAAATAAACTCATATTTCTATAACAATTCGATCTCCCGATTGAATCGGACAAATGCCTACGAAAAGATCGCTTTGCTTATGACTATAGCTTTGTACCAACATTATGCTTTATGTTCTCTTTTCGCTTTAATCATGGATGAGCTTAAGAGACATTGAAGTTGAAGCTCCATGAGTTTTATTCGATTAAGACCAGGTCAAATCCTATGTAGAACACTAGATAAGTACTTTGTAATCTAAATGATTTAGGTTAAGTTGAAAGAAGGAGAATATATCGTAACGCACTGCCATTTTATCGATAGTAGGAAGAGTAAGAGTAGCAATAAATTGACTGTAGATGACCTTATTGTCCCCAAATGTGACCGTTTATGTGTTTAGGTTCAATTATTTATAAAGAAAAATTAAAGAAGATGAAATGCATAGAATTAGAAATGGATGGATGAAATAATTTTGTGGATAGGAAGATCCCTATAAACGCCGTGGTGGTACATGAAAATTATTAGACTTGCTATGCTTTTTGTTTGTGAATCATTGTTGAGTTTTTAAATGACAAAATATGGATCACAAGTGTCAAATATCCATAGGATGAACCTTGTAGAATTAAGGATATTAAGATGAATAAATGGTCACACTAGAATGGATAAGATAAGAAATACAGTATTTGCTACTTAGGTGGTTTGGACATTACTTGCCTAAAGGGCCTCGGTTTATCAAAGTTGTAAGATTAAAGTAGATTAAGTTGTAAGAGGGAAGATCTTAGCTAACATAGCGTGTTGTGGTTGCTAAGGATCCAATTGCATCCCATATTTCATTAGATGTAGCAGCAATACATCTAATGAAATTAACCAGAACGTTGTTGTATTTTCAAATACTAATTGCATGTTTGTCTTATTACACATACCTTGAAGAATCTCTTGGTTTCTCTGTCCTGTTGCGTCACTGCATTCTTGTACATTTTTGCAGCTAAAGTGATGAGGACATCTAGTTTGGACTATTTAGTTAGTATTTTATTTGGGCTTGTATTATGTTTTGGGCTTGCTCAAGCTTTTTATTTTGTTTTTTGGGCTTGTATCATGTATTGGGCTTGCCCAAGCTAAAGTGATGATGATTCTGTTGTGTTTGCCGTGGTCGTCATGGAAGTTCCATCGAAATCTCCAATATTGATCCCTGATGAGGTCCAATCAGTTCTTCAAGAATTTCGAGAGGTCTTTCCTGAAGACCTCCCTGATCTATTGCCCCCATTACGGGATATTCAACATGCTATAGATCTTGTCCCTGGATTGTCTCTTCCAAATTTACCTTATTATAGAATGAATCCTACTGAGAATGCTAAGCTTCAGAGGCAAGTAGAGGAGCTCCTTCACAAAGGATTTATTCGTGAGAGTCTAAGTCCTTGTGCGGTTCCTGCCCTTTTGACTACTAAGAAAGATGGTTCTTGGAGAATGTGTGTTGATAGTCATGCCATCAATAAAATCATAGTGAAGTACCGTTTTCCAATCCCTAGACTTGATGATATGTTGGACATGATGGTCGGTGCCACGATATTTTCTAAGATTGATTTAAAGAGTGGGTACCACCAAATTAGGATTCGCCCAGCTGAGGAATGGAACACTGCCTTTAAAACGAAAGATGGTCTTTATGAGTGATTGGTCATGCCTTTTGGGCTAACCAATGCCCCGAGTACTTTTATAAGAGTAATGACACAAGCTTTGCGACCATTCATGGGTAAATTCCTCGTTGTCTACTTTGATGACATTCTCGCGTACAAGAAATCTAGGGAACAACATAGAGATCATCTCACGAAGGTTTGTTTTACCCTTCGCGCTACAAGCCTATATGCTAATGTGAATAAATGTTCTTTCTTCACAGATAAAGTTGTATTTCTAGGTTTTATTGTCTCCGTGACAGGAGTGTCTGCTAACCCTGCAAAGATTCAGGCCATTGTTGGTTAGCCTGAGCCCAAGACTATACATGACGTTCGGAGTTTTCATGGTTTAGCTACCTTTTATCGTCGTTTCATTAAAGGGTATAGCACGATCATGGCTCCTATTACGGAGTGCATGAAAAGAGGATAGTTTTATTGGTTGCATGAAGCGGCCAAAGCATTTAAGTTGGTTAAGAGGTGGAAGCTCCAGTCATGTCACTTCCTGATTTTTCCAAAGTTTTTGAGGTAGAATGTGATGCCTCTGGGGTAGGGATAGGTGGAGTTTTGAGCCAAGAGCGCCACCCTATTGCTTATTTCAAGGAGAAATTAAATGATGCCAAACGACGGTACTCGACTTATGACAAGGAGTTGTATGCAGTCGTAAAAGCTTTATGCAATTGGCTTCATTACTTGTTGCCTCAGGAATTTATTCTTTATTCGGACCATGATGTACTTCGCTACCTTAATTCCCAAAAGAAGTTGAATGTTAGGCATGGTCGTTGGATCGAGTATTTGCAGGCCTACTTTTTTGTTTTGAAGCATAAAAAGGGCAGTGAAAATCAAGCGGCGGATGCTTTAAGCTACCGCATTTCACTTTTAACCAATATGAGTGTCAAGGTCATAGGTTTTGAACGATTCAAAGAAGATTATGAGTCATGTACCGATTTCAAGGACATTTTCCTTGCGTTGCAACTGATGGTTTTCGTCTAGAGGATGGTTATCATTTTAGGTCCAATAAATTATGCATCCCTTGAATTTCAGTATGAGACTTTATAATTTGGTAAAGTCATGCAGGAGGCTTGGCTGGGCATTTTGGACGTGATAAGATAATCGAAGAGGTTGAACGTCAATTTTATTGGCCTCGTTTGAAGACAGATGTAGCTAAGATTGTTAGTGCTTATAACACATGTCAATTGGCCAAACAGAAGAGACAAAACACTGGTCTTTACACACCTTTTCCCGTCCCTAGTTGTCCTTGACAAGACGTCAGTATGGATTTTGTACTAGGACTCCGATGTACTCCAAAGAAACATGATTCTAATTTTGTTATAGTGGATCGTTTCTAAAAAATGGCCCACTTTATCCCTTGCAGCAAGATTTCAGATGTGTCTAAGGTTGCTAGGCTGTACTTTAATGAGATTGTTAAATTGTATGGCTTTCCTAAGACCATTGTGTCGGATAGGGATGTTCGGTTCACTAACCACTTTTGGAGAACCTTATGGCACATTGTTGGCACTAAGTTGAAATTTTCCACTACGTATCATCCTCGGACCGATGGTCAAACTGAAGTTGTTAATCGCAGTCCTGGTAACCTATTAAGATGTCTAGTTCAGGGAAATTTGAGCAACTGGGATTTAATCCTCTCGATAGCCTAAATTGCATATAACAGTTCTGTGAATCGGTCTTTAGGCACGAGTCATTTTGAAGTTGTTCATGGTTACAAACCTAGGAAGCCTTTAGACCTTATCTCTATGTCTCCACATGCTAATGTGTCTGTGTCAGTTGAGGTATTTGTACAACATCTTCATGACTTGCATATTGAGATCAATAAATAACTAGAGACAAGTAATGCATCATATAAACTTCAAGCTGATTTGCATAAACGATATATTGAGTTTAAAATTGGGGATTTTGTGATGATCCGAATTAGACCGGAATAGCATCCATCTGGATTTGCTTCCAAATTGCAAGCCCGTAGCGCTAGTCCTTTTAAAATCTTAAAGCGTATTGGTCCAAATGCGTATGTCATTGATCTTCCATCACATTTTGGCTACTACTCTACTTTCAATGTTGAGGATTTAGTTGCTTATAAAGGCCATTTTAAGCCCTCTGATGACCCTTTTTTAGCCCCATCTGTTGACTTTCAATCTGAACCTATTGCTATCCCTACTTCAACACCCCCCATCACAATACCCAAAGATAAGATTGATGCTATTTTAAATGAACAGATTATATTGACTAATGATGGAGAAATTCAACGCTTTCTTGTTCGTTGAGTAGGACGACCTGACTTTGATTGCACATGGATTCCTAGAAAGACACTCCAACAGCTTAATCCTGACTTGTTGGAGTTTTATAGGAGTCAGCATGATCTTCCATTAGCTAGACCACCTATCACACGCGTATATGGACGTCGGAAGAGATTTTTCCAACCACTCAGCTTATGGTTGGGCAAATGACTGCAGCCTTTTATGAATTATTCCCTCGACGGAGTCGAGTTTTTCCCATCCCGGGAGAGTTGATGAGGACATCTAGTTTGGACTATTTAGTTAGTATTTTATTTGGGCTTGCCCAAGCCTTTTATTTTGTTTTTTGGGCTTTTATCATGTATTGGGCTTGCCCAAGCCTTTTTTTGTTGTTTAGACAGCTTGCTGTATGGACAGGCAGAGATGGCGGGAATGAAATGAAGTTTGAGTGTTGCAGGTAGGGATGGGCGCAGGTTGGTTCGGTTCGGTCTTTAGAACCGAATTGAACCAAAATTTTCGGGTATTTAATAAATGGAACCGTCGGGTCCAAATATAATTATGGAACCGTTCGTGTTCGATTCGGTTCTGTACTATAATTAATTTTTTTAACATTTATAACAACATTATATAAATACAACTAATGACATATTCAATGGTTTTGAAATGTCAGAGACTCGTAGACTATCTTGTTTAAATGATCGCTATGGTCAAAATTTCGGTTGGCGGAGGTCACAACTTCGATTAGAGGTCACAGCGTCGGTCGATGATTGTATAGGCTTTGGAATGTCATGGAGGCTATGAGAGTCGAGACAGCGTTATGCACTTTAGTGTAGGTAAATAGGGTCATTTAGTGGGTTGGATCTTGTTGAGCTAAAAAATGAGACAATAAAATGGGTAATTGGGCCAAAAATTAAAAAATTAGAAATGAAACAAATTATTGAGCCAAAAATTTGGATTTAGAAATTGTTAATTTGTTTAGAAAAAATTAAAATAAAAATAATTTGATTTATTCAATATAAAAAAAAATTAGAAAGATTCGGCTCTTATTCGGTTCTTGGTCTAGAACCGAGAACCGAACCGTACCCGTCGGTTCTTAATTCAGATACCTGTTCGGGTATTTAATTTGACAAGAACCGTCGGGTTCGGTTCTGTCGGTTTTGTTCGGGAGATTTGCCCAACCCTAGTTGTAGGACTCCCCCCCTTTTCCGCCGCCCCTTCTCTTCCCTTCTTTCCTTTTTCTCTAGCTTTTATGTATTCTGCTGGTTTCTTCAACTTTCACAGGTTCTAAATTTCTCAATCTATGCTACATCATAAAGCCTAGAAACACCCAACTACATGCCTTTGGTCTCCTGCCAAGCCCCCTATGCATACGTAAAGAAAAAGATGAAAATAGAAAGAAAGAAAACCATTGCATCATGTGCTGTCATTGTTTTTGAGCTCCGCATCAGGATGTTGTTCATTTAGCTTCATCTCTGAATGGCATCTGACCCAATTGATTCAAATAGAGAACTCATGCTGGTGTTGATCGTAGTTTCATATAATTCTATAGTAGTTAACATGTATACTTCCTTTACCATTGAAATTTCTCATAAATTTCTGCCTTTTATAAGCTGGTTATGAGGGTTATTAATTTCTTCAGTTTATTTCTCTGTTACTTATACAAGATTTGTGATGTTCTGTTCATATCTTTTCAGAATCTGAATAAGGAGTCTGCAGACCCGAGATGGAAGCCAGGTGTGCAGGCACGGGCTAATAAAGGGGTCCGAGGAAACTATTCACGATACAGTTCTCACGGTAAACCTTACTTAAAAGGAAAGCCCAGCCAAGTTCTTCTGGAGTTGTTCTTATATTCGATGCTAGTTTCTGTGCAGACAATCACTTTGATTTGAATTATATTTCTTGTCAATTTGGAAAATTTGGGTGGTTCTTACATTTATATGCTAATGTTAATTTCGCATTTAAAACCACTTGCCTTAGTGAACAATTCTGCTGGATTCAACTGGTTTAGGACATACTTGTCTTAAAGCCATGATAAACTGTGTACTTATTGTTGGTGTGAAACCTAGCTTTTGCAAAATGAAGCTTTGTTTTCTTGCTCCACTCATTTTCTTTTCCCTTATGTTCTGTACCTGTTTCTTGTCAGATACTGGCAGTGGGAGGAATTATGCTGCTGTGAAGGAAACTTCAACCACTCTAATATCAGATAAAGGAGTTAGCATACCACCTTTGCCTACTTCACAAGAGAGAAAAAGGAACGAAACTTCTGTTGGAAGGTGCAATAGGTGTTATTAGACTCTTTAAGGGTCCGTTTGGTTTGTGTTTCAATTTTTTGTTTTGATAGTGTGAGATTGCTAAAAACAAGTTTAGGCTATCATTTTAAAAAACTATTTCTCAAAATAGAAATCTAGAAATCACGTTTGGTTTGAAATTTTGAAATATTGTTTTATGACATTTATTTCACGAAATTTGATTATTTAGTAAAATAGAAAACTTTTCTGTTAATATATTATCTAGTAATATATACATTTTTGATGAATATTACAATATTTTTTTCTTGTTATAGAAGAAAATAAAAACAAATAATAAATTGAGATAAAAATATAAAAATAAATGATGTGGATTAAAAATAATTTTGCGCTCGTTTGAGCTCCATTTTGGGCTAAGAATGCATTTTGGAATAATAGATTGATAGAGAATTTGTGATTAAAAAATAAGGAAAAGTTTAAGGTTTTTGAATAATATTATTTTAATGAAAAATGTTTAGTTGAAAAGAAGTGAGAAAAATGTATTTTGTAAATAATGGGATCAAACAAGGGTTTCATATGTTTTCATTTAATTTTAAGAATTTTCCTATAAATAATTATTAAGAGATTGGACTATTTTTATTTTTCTTGAATCTTTTATAATTTTATTTTTTAATTTTTAGAATTTTATGTGTGTGTGAAAGAGCCAGGGTCGGTGGACAGGGGTAGCACTCGGTCTACTTTTTAGATTCTATTTTTTCTACGTTTTTTCAGAGCATATTTGAGTCCCATTTTTAGCAAAGAATACATTTTGAAATAGTAAATTGATGAATAATGTGTGGTTAAAAAATAGGAAAAGTTTTGAGTTTGCGTGTAATCTTATTTTATTAAAAAATTTGTGGTTGAAAAAAAGAGAGAAAAAATGAATTTTGGAAATAATGGGGATCAAACAAGGGCTTAGTATTTGTATTTTTAGATTTATTATTTTAATTATTTTTAATTTAATTTTTTAGAATTTAATTTTTTTTAAAAATAAATTCTGGAGTTTACTTTTTGTTGTTTTTTAAAATTTCATTTAAATAAAATTTTATTTGAACACTTGTTTTCCATGTTTTGACTATTTTATGAATTTTTAATGAAAACAATCAAAACGTCAAAAATGCATTTTGAGTTTTATGTTGTAAGTTTAACAATGTTTTAGAAAATGTATTTAAAAAAAAATAAAAATATCATACCAAACAAGTTTGGAGTGTTTTGTAAAACTGAAAATAACAATTCAAATGCGCCCTAATTGTTTAACTAATGTTGCTCTTCTCTTCCAAGTAACCAAATTTGCTCTTCTATGATACAACCTACCCTATTACTTAAAAGGTTTGTTTTTCCCATCCCCAATGTGCTCCAAAAGTTCTGTGTTCTTCATTTTGCAGCCCAGTAACTGCCCTATCCAATGGTCCATCTGGTATTAGTACTAGTGTTCTACGCGAGACACATGTGACTGCAAGTAGAGTTGTTAATCAATCCTATGCAACTGGTGATGCCAGCACACGTAAGGTGGAAGGACTGCTGCCACTTCCATCCCCCATTGATTCCACTAAAAACCATGATGTTGCTCATGGAATACGGGCACACCAGATGCTGAAATCCAGCAATAGTTCAGCACCTGTTCTGTCAGGAACTTCTTCAGGAGCTCATTTCTCTTCATCTGATCCTGTACTGTTGCCATCTGAACATGTAAGGCCCCCTATTAGACATGAAATGGATAGTCAGTGTACTCCTGTTGAGCAAATTGCAGTTAATCCTACTGAGGGGAAATCAGCTTCAGGTAGAATTTGTGCCCCAATTAGAATTTCTATTTTCCTCTTTTTTTATTTATTTATTTTTTAATCTTCAAAAAGATTAAGCTTATGAGGCTTGTTCGATTTGATATCTGTGATAGAAGCTTCGGTTGGCAGCTCTATTGTGCCGCAGATGCCAAACGTGTCCCAGGGAGTTGGAAAGAATCAGCTTTTAGAAACTCGAAAGACTGCATCTTCAACACACGATGGCTCATTTGGTAGTAGGCCTTCATCTAATCAAAACAATCGGACACATGTGATTGGCCTACAGAAAGGTAAAAAGCTTATGTGATCTTGTCAAGAATCCTGTTTTGCTGCCATATTCTATTTTTGTATTATTAACTCTAATGTGGATTGGTCTGTGATTGGGCTGCTTTTCTGCTTGACTGAAATTTTGTGAGATCATTGCTACTCTTCCAAACACTCTTGACTGATTTTGATGAGACTATTCATTTTAGAATTCAATGACTGAAATCTTGATTTTGGCTGCTCAAACACAAGGTAAGGCAGAAGTGAGAAAGGATGTTTGGGGAAATAATATCAACCAAGTTTTTAGAAGGATATTGTTTAGCTTCCTGTCTTTTAACATATTGACAGCTCAGTGCTAATTGAGAGAAATTGAGAGACACACACACACACACTCTCTCTCTCTCCTCTCTCTTTGTGCGTGTGTGTAGTTTGTAAATGTTATTTGTACACATGTACATTGGTACGAGTTTTGTGCTTGTAGGAAAAAATATCCATTTAAGCTTTGATTTGAAAGCAGTGCTTTCATCTGGAGTCATGCATGCATTTTTCAATTTTCTCTGAATTCTCTTACATCTTGTTTTGTTTTCTTGACGGAACTCCTAAATTTGTCTCCCAGCCTAGTATGTAGCCTCAATATGTGATATAGCTACGACTGTAATGGAAAGAACATTTTGCAATTTCGAGTAGATTTTAGTCAGGTAGAGTAAGTCGACGATAACCATAACCATTGATAAACATAAGGATCAGATTCTACCAGGTGAATTGAATCCACATTTATCTCTTTATTGAGGATGCAATTAGCTCCATACTCAATAACTAACTGGTGGATGTGTGTTTTCTTACAGTGGGTCCTGGCAAGGAGTGGAAACCAAAGTCTACAAACCACAGTATTGTTCAGGGTGTTAGCACAGCTGCTTCATCTGAGGTTTCTATAGTTGTTGAAAATCATTCTGAATTGCAGCCAACACCCGAATTCCTTTCTTCAAAGGAAGTTACTTTAGAGCTGCTGAGGAATTTGGAAGAGACTCACATTTCAGATAGTCAACATGTCATTATACCTAATCATCTGCATGTCCCTGATGCTGAAAAACTTGGGTTTTGTTTCGGAAGTTTTGATGCTAGCTTTGAGCTAGATATGAGCTATAACAGTGGCCCCGAGAGTGACAAGAGTCAGCCTCTGTCTGAATCTCCTGAGGCTATTAAGGAAACTGTCAAGGAGCCATCTCCAAGGTCCCGCCATCCCCTTTCTATCTCACCCAAGTTTCATTCAGTCTTTATTCTGCTTCAAATGCTTTCTTTCTTTCACTGCCATGTTGCACTTCACACACTGATACATTTAGTGGTCTGTATGGACGCTGTTGGATCTATCAATGAGGTTTTATTTTTCTATTTCTGGGTTTTCCAGGTCGGCTTTTGGTCAATAAAATTATTTCTCCTACAAGAATGAACAAATCTTTTGGGCAAGACAAGAAACTTTCCTTTGACATGCTGAACTCTTATATGCTTATATCTTTGAACTATGAGCTGAATGTGGGCAACCTCATAGAATCTGGATAGAACCATTTAAGATTAAAATGACTGTTCCAGTAGTTTCTGGGATTCTTTTTCTTTTTTCTTTTTCATTTTAGGTGTTCACGAGGGGATCGATTGTCACTCAACTCCACTTCAATTGAACATTAATAGTTACCATATATTCTTCTATGGGAATGTAACTTGATTCATCACCGAGTATCGTTTTCTTAAATGAGTCTATGGTGGCAACTAGAACTTTTGCTAGGTTCATAAATACTCTCTTTGGTCTTTAAATTGATAAGGGGATGGTGCCCAGAGGGAAAAACTTGAAGGTATGAAAACATGTTTATGTTCAGTCATCCTCCTCCTGAGTGTGCCCTAGAGGCTGTGCAATCTCTTTTCTCTTTGTGAACATGACTGAATACATGTATCATATTTTGCTTATAAACATTTAAGCAGAAATAAATCCTTTTCTGTTTCACTTGAAGAATAAGAAAATGAGATATCTTTTCTTCGGTATTATTCTGATTGGTGGAATTTCATTTCTGCTCTATTGTCTCATAAAATATTGTTCCTCTTTTTGTTACTATTCCTTGAAATCTGTAACTAACCACTGATGAGCTTTTCTTTCTGATCCCTAGCCGTTTCTCTTTCCTCTTTTTTTGTTTGTCTCATCCTTGTTTTGCTCATTGGACTAAGTGATTCATTGTTATATGCTACTTGTTAACTGTGAAAACACCTATATACATTGAAATGCATGTTTATATACATGGAGGGTGGAAGCAAAAGAGGCCACACTATGAATTTTCTTGCTTGATTAGGGGTTTCTTGATTCCATAAGCTTTCCTTCTACACATTTCATACACAGTTTCTACTTGTACCATGCATTTTTGTGTTTCTAATTATCACATTCTCTTATTATGGTTACAGTCAGAATGAGCTTGTAACTGCAGAGGATACTGAAGCAAAATACCCTGACAATCCTCCAACTTTGCAAGGACTAGAAATTTTTTCATCTACTGAGGGTGAAGTCTCATCCTCTGTTCTCCCAGAATATAACAAGTCCAAGCAGGAGGTTGCTCCTGGAAGCCATCAACATCCTGTAGCACAATCTTCTTCAAGCTATGGTCTTGGTTTTGTGCCACCAATGTTGAGTAGCCAGGTTTCAACTTTGGAAAGTTCAGAATCTCGAGCTCTTGATACTCATCAAGTTCCAAATGTTGTTGTATGTCTTAGACGTCAATTATTGTGTATCCATTATATTGTATTTTTTAATTACTATCTGCTTTCAAGTTTTAATTATCTAAAGTGTGTTGGTCATTATTATGCATTTTCCTTCAGAATGATAAGCAATCAGTTATTCTCTCAGATTTAGGAAAGTTGATGCATATTTGGATGTGCATCATTTGGTTTCCGTTTGTAAGAAAATAATTTAATAATAGATTTATACTTACAGGTACAGCAATCATTTGACCCCACAAGCTATTATTTGCAATTTTATCGGCCTGGTGCACACGGTGATGGCCGCATTTCACCATTCCATTCAGCTGGAGCTGCATCCAAATATAATGGCAATGCTATCATGCTCTCTGCATTGAATTCGCAGTCTCCTCAAGAGGTTTGTGCTTCAACACCCTCAAAGTTCACCTTCTGTCATATTTTTTTGCTGTTTGTGAAGGAAACATAAACTGTGATTGTCACTAGAAAGTGGACATGACAAACATCTCCACCCCCCCCCCCAGAGGTGAGCGAAGCTCTGACTATGCAATTTGTGTGAAAGTGTATCGATGCATCTCTAATTTTGCATCTATGTGTATTTGATAAACAGGGGGTGTGCGTGTTGGAGGTGAAAGTGATGGCGATTTTGAGGAAATGGAAGTGGTAGTGGCGGTGACAATGCATCTTTGGTTGTGCATGTCTATGTGATTGGTTGGAGGTGGTGGTGATTGTTGGTGCATGTGGTGATGGTGAAACCTGCGTTTAGATGTCGGTATGGCAAAAATACCCGTTAATACTTTAAACGAAAAAATTTCACAAAATTTTATTAATTCTAATAGAAGATATATTCGAATAATTTTTAAAAATAAATAAATTAATTAAAACATTCAATAAATATATTATTGTTTCACTTGAATGAATGAGAGCAATAAAATGAATTATCAAACTAAAAAAAAATAAAAAAATTAAATGGGTATGTAAACGGGGCAACCACCCCAACCCATCTTGCCTCGCCTTAAACGGGTACCAAGGCGGGTTTGAAACCCTCCCCGTTGCCAACCCTATTTGGGTGGTGTCGTTGGTATTGGAGTGGAGTGGAGCGGGATGAAAAAGTGTTTGTGATCAATTATTTGATAATTTGTGATTAATAATTAATATTGGACCTAAAAAATGTGCAATTTGTGATTCATAATTTGTAATTTGTGCCTTTAACCTTGTGCAATTTGTGATTGATATGTAATTGTAACTACAAATGGTGCGTTATTATGACATTGACATGTTTAATTAATTAATAATTTACAAAAATGTAGTGAGGTATTTTTCCCTATCATGAGGACTTGCAACAAAAAACCCCCCCCCCCCCCCCCCCCCTCCTCTTTTTTTGGTGTTGGTTTGTGTAATATCAAGCTTGAACTTCTGACCTTTGTCATGTTTTAATTATCTTGAAAATGTTTCTAAATGGTAAGAATCTATATTGCCCCCAAAATTTTTTTTATTAAGAAACATAATTGGAGATTGTTATAAATTTGTTCTTTGAGAAAATAGCAGCAGATGTCCCTAATCTTTAACATGCGTTGCACTCTGGTCCTCAACTGTAAAAAAGGAGCATTTGGCTCCCCAATGTTTCATTTTGATAGCAGCTAGGTCCCCACCAGACAATTTAGTCCTTGCCTTTACCTAACAAACCAAAATATAGCCAAAGACGAATTTACCCTATCATAAAAAAACCAAAAAATTAAATAAAAAGCAAGAAATGGAAAAAAATGTGCATTTTAACCACCCCCCTCAAACAACCTTCTTCTGGCAACCCCCCTGAACATCTTCTAGATCTGTTCTTTTCATTGGCATGTAGATAATGTATCCTTACATGCCAATAGACCCCAGCAACGGAAAGTTGACACAAGTTTGAGTCGCAAAGCTTTTTGCACTGGCTGGTTTCTGTTAGGGTTTAATAGTTGTTGGATTCAATCACCTTCAAGCTTGGGCTTTTGGGAGAGATGATTGAGTCTCTATCAATTGGTATCAAAACAAACCCACATCACATGTTCGAGTCCTAAAAGGGGCGACCCAAGTGAAGTGCCGAATACCGATAGCCAAAGAAGGGCTAGCCGGGTAAAGAGAAGGTCGTCTTGGAGTGGGCCGCCAAGGACGTTGGATTTGGGGCCGTGGGGTATTGTTATGGTCTAATAGTTGTGAGATTCAATTACCCTCCAGCTTGGGCTTTCGGAAGAGATGGTTGGGTCCATATCAGTTTCTCTCCAGCTTTAATGCCCCATGACAAAATCCATTTTCCACACCAGCTTCAGTTGCTCGGTATCCTTGTGAATGATTAAAAAAGTTACTCTGACCACTTTCTTGGCTGTGAAGGTTGGAGTTTTAAATGCCAATTTTGGCAGAAAGATGATTCATAACAGCATCCAGCGAGTGAGTGGTAACATATATTGCATTATATCTTATTTTATCCTCATTGAAGAAGGGATAAATGAAGAAAGAATATTCCTAGTTAAATGAAAAAGATATTGAGAATGTTAGAATTGATGGGGAATAGAAAATGACAATAGCAAATTGATTTTTAGTAGATTGTCTGATAACAATGCTGTTTGAGGTGTGGATCATAGATCTGTTTTGAGGCATGGGCTTCAAGCATGAAAGCAGGGAGCTGGCTGGTTGGGGGTTGCCTAGAGTGAATTATATGTTTGGGGTTCGGGTTGGGGGAGATTTGGGGAACATAATTCTTGTTTTTTTTAGTTTTATTTTTTTCTTGTCTTTTATTAAATATTGTTAATTTAAATATAAGGGTGAGTTCGTCTTGTTTAAAAAAATTATAATGTTTTTTAAAGATAAGGGGAAAATGGTCCTCTAGGGACCTAACTGGCACTAAAATGGAAGTTTGGGGACTCAATGCTCTCTGCTGCTATTTTCCTTTATACTTTTGGGCGTCTGTTCTTCCATTTGATAAAAATATAAAGTAAATATTGGGATAAATCTTTCATGTCACCATTTAGTTAATTCAAAAACTGTCACTTTGTTAGAAAAGTGAGTCTGTGACAATCAAGATCTTTCTGTTTTCATGCTTAACCTTGTGGATATTTATTTTGGAAGACTAAAAATTAAGACTGAGAATAGTTTCTATATGTCAACCTTTTTTTTATGTGAGAATGTGCATGTAAGATGAATGCAATTACTTTGTGTAGAAAATATTAGAATGCATTTTCTTTGTATTGACCTTTTCATTTGGTGAATATGCCATTTGTGATGAATCCAATTTTTGAAGTATTATAAAGGAAAAACTAGCTGATATTACATAAGAGTAGGTGGTACAGAATGTTCAGTTTCTTCAATGGATGGGAGTACAGGAATATTTCAGAATGGTGTTTGCCATCTGTTTCAACTTGCTGGAAAGTCTTCGGTCTCCTGTCCTTTCACAACCTTTACTGTTAAAGAGCTTCAGGGACTCTTCCGGCACATCCTAGTTTTTTTGGAGGAAAATATCATGTCTGTGTCCACGTAAGAAATTATGATCATGTCCCATGTATAGGTTTGTGCTACATGGATCTAAAGTTATCCAATAGAATCCATAATAGTAGACGAGTATTGTACTAGGCATTTGGAATGTTAAAGAGAGTTTTGGAGTAAAGGGGCTTCCTAGGCTTCAAAGCATTAACTTGCCAACTTTTTGCATATATTCCAGTTCAAAATGATACATTGTTTCTTATTTTCTTGTTGCATGATAGGAATTTGTTCACGCTTTCTAAATCACTCATCCCCCTCTTAAACTTGTTTATAAGATCCATATCCTTCTTTTTCTTATGGTAAATCATGACTCTAATCTTGCTTGAGTGGTAAAAACTTTGGTCGAAAAGGTTGTCTAAAGCTTTTGTAGACCTTCCTTTTGGGGTTTCTCTTTTGTTGTCCCTTAGAACGTATTTGATGGACAGTCCCAGTAAATGATCTAGGTTTGGTAATGAACATGAAATTGTGTTGGCTAAATATTAAGCCTATGTTTGGCCTCCATTCTTTCAAAAACTCATTTTCTCAAAATTCAATTTCAACCTTACATTCTCCCATAAAATACATTTACACATAAACCGAAAACTTTTCCTTATTTTTAACCACACATTCTCCAAAAAACGACAATTCAAAAATATATATCTCCGTCTCAAACGGGGTCGAAAAGCTTCTGGGCTCTGAAGATTAATAGATGCATATGAATGTAGAGAGAGCATAGGCGTGAATTGCCTTAAAGTACTTCTCACTGGTGAGTTGGGCATTCATGAACAGTAACCGGGACCTTGGTTGTGGTGGTTTGATGCTGTGAGGTATTTAGAGCTGTGAGTTCTGCAGTACAAGATAGAGCTAATCTGAATCTATGAAAGACCAAAACATGAAACCGAAGTGCTGCTGTCAAGTGCAAGGACTGTGAAGAAGAGGAAAAAGAATGGTCTATGAAAGACCAAAACATGAAACCGAAGTGCTGCTGTCAAGTGCAAGGACTGTGAAGAAGAGGAAAAAGAATGGACCCTTAATAAGAAACTCTATAGTGTATGCAGTTTCCATGTAGTTACTTAACGAAACCGTAAAAAAAGGAAAGTCTATATGGTTTAATTGCTAGAAGTTGAGCTATGATTCCTCAATTATTATATATATATATATATATTTCTCTTTTGATTCTAAATGGTGAATAATTGATCCTTTAAATGGGTGAATTATTGCGCATATGCAGTTGGAAAGATCTTTTTTATCTTGATAGTGAAACACTTGCTTCTACTTTTGCAATTAGGATATCCTTCTCCCCGAGACACATTGTCACATTAGTAACAAAATAGGGAAGCGAAGTTTGGAAGTTTACTGATGGCATGTTATTAACCTTTATAGAATGGATTTTTGTGTTAAATACGTTGTTAGAGTAAATTTGCTAGATGCATTTTTTGGCATCTCAGTGGTGATGGCTGGTACTGCTGTTTCTTACTCTAGCACAGTTTGAAAAAATTGACTTGTTCGAATTTATGTTACATTGACATTTTTATTCTTTCTTCCCAAAGGGGACCATGTCAAGTGTGCATTTGTATGGATATGGTGGAAGCACTTCACAAATTTTGATATCATTTTCATAGGTGTTCTCTCACTGAGATGTGTCTTGAGCTGATCCTGGGCTTGCTGCTATCAATTCCTGTAATTTCCATTCAATAGGTGAAGGTACTGTACTTATTTTGAAATATTTTGGTTGCAGGGTGGTGCCCCTATGGTTTTATCCACTGCTGCTCCATCACCACTTGTGACTCAAGCTGCTGGAGTTGTGCAGAGCTCCCAGCAGCCGCAATCAATTTTTCGGCAACCAACTGGGATGCATTTACCTCATTATCCTCCAAACTACATCCCATATAACCCCTATTTCTCTCCATATTATGTCCCACCACCAGGAGTTCATCAATTCTTAAGTAATGGTACATTTCCACAGCAACCTCAGGCTGGCAGTATGTATCCAACTCCACATGGGGCAAATGCCAAATATTCGGTATCTCAATTTAAGCAGGGGCATAGTATGGGAAACTCAGTCTACATGGGAGTGCCTGGCAGTTGGCCATATGGCGCTTCCACAGCCAACTATACTTCCAGTTCAGCCAGAACTGTTACTTCAACCTCTGATGGGGATCCTCTTGCTGCCCATCAAGTTAAAGAAAATAGTCTCTATGTCGGTGGTCAACAGGTGCGTATTTTTGTGCTTCTTTCAGGATCTATTTTGACAATGTTCACACATTTTGGAAGTTAGTTTTATTGAGGTTATTGAGGTGGCTTTACCTCCTAGGTAATGTAAGAATTAATCTTGAATACCTTCTGCCATCAGAGGGTATGCATAGCTAGTAGTACTGGAATTATGTTAAGAAATAACCAAGAAACTCCTTACAACGTTCTATGGTAAGAACATGTTGATATTGCAAATGCTGTCATGCTTATACTCCCCCATTTGCAATCTTGGCCAACAGTTTCAACATTTGATCTAGTAAAACTCTTCTTAAACATGTTGTCGTACTCATATTACAGAATTACTGAAGAATTTGTCTTGTTCTTTTACATGCATTTTAATTCTGGTTTTGATTATTAGTATAAGGCATATTTAAGGTTTATAATCTTGTACTTTGATTTATGATTTGCTGGTTGAGTCCTTGTGGGACTATATAAAGACACAGAATGATGAAAGAGAGAAAAAAAAAAAATCCAGGTAGATACTGCTCTTTTTTCCCCAAAGAAGTTATATCAGAGTGAAGAAAATGTTCGAAACTGGCATAACTGGTTTATTAATTTTTCTTGTTTTGAGAGGAAAAAAGCCTTGTCCTCTTTGGTGCGCTGGGTCAGTACACTAATGTTGGTAAATTTGCTGCCTTGCAGAGTGAGGGTTCAGGCGTATTGTTTACAGCTTCCGGTCAGGATATTTCTTCCTTGCAGGCTAGTTCCTTCTACAATCTACCTCAGGGTCAGCTGGCTTTCACTCCAACACAGCATGGCCACGGTACATTTGCAGGTATGTACCACCCTGCACAGGCAATGACAGCAGCCACTGTTCACCCTCTTCTGCAACAATCTCAAACCATTTCAAGTGCTCTTGATATGGTTGGACCCCCTAGCAGTGTTTATCAGCAACCACAGCATACGCAACTGAACTGGTCAAGTAACTACTGAATAAGGAGATGTTTCTTTCAAAAGTCAATTATATGTTCGAACAATCTTGAATTGTCTATTGTGACGTCAAACAAGTTTTGATTTAAGAAACAAATGGCGCACCCAAGTGTAAATTTATGGAAGGAGCCAATGAATTGGGAAGACGTTTTTTGAGTCAAATAAGGCCAGAACATGCTAGCTAGCAATCTCTTTCTTGCTTCTGATAGATGGTTTGTTTTGGCTTGACATAACCGGAGAGCCCCTCTCAAGGTTTAAGCTTTATATTTAGACCATAGGACAGGTTAAATTATTATTTTCTTCTCAAATTTTCTGTAGTTTTGGATTAAGTAGGACCATTGGCAGACTGGTGTGAGTTTTTATAGGTCTCCAACTATTCTACCTGTAAATTGAATATTTTGTGATGGCAAAAGGGATGTACTGTGGAATTGTTACAGCTGGCCTTGGTGTATGCAATTGGGGCATTCAATTGTTTTTGACAGAGAATAATGAGTCTTTTGGCTTGAGATTTGAGTATATTCTTGTTGAATGTCAATGCTAAGAAACAGGTTACATTTTTCGATTTATCCGTGTCATCCTTGTATAGAGATCGTGCTTATCTTCTTTGTATAGTTCTAATTTTATTGAATGTTCTGAAGGGAAAGAAACGCAACTATAATGGTCTATAATTCTCATTCATAAAATGTACTTCATTTCATAAAGATTGACTTCCTTTACTTTTTCATTTATTCCAAATTATTGGGTAACTTAACTTATTGAGAGTACAGTTGATTTCTTAGCCTTTGTTTAATGTTTTTTTTCTTAGCCTTTGTTTAATGGTTTTTTTTTTAACACCTATTTTCAATTACATTTATATAATAATATATTATGCATATAAACTCATTATTTCTTATTTTTATTTTTTCACCACACGTTTTTCAAAAATCCACTATTCAAAATATTTTATTTCCAAAATAAATACCATTAATTAGGGGTTTAGTTTTCTAATATGATTTTATTTAGGGCATGTTTGAGCCACATTTAAAAAAAAAAAATGTATTTCTAAAAATTGATTTGACATCATTTCAGTCACACATTTTTCAATAAAATAATATTATACACAAATCCAAAACTTCGGGTTAGACTAGTCTTTGATAAACGGATTAGATTATCTAGATCTATGTTAGGGTTGAGACCAGCCACAATGGTGAAAATCATCGAAGATAAGCTAGCAAGGATTCAATGCATGATGGACCAACGATAAGATCAAAAGCAAAAGGGACTAAGGAAGCCATGCAATAACTTGTCCATGTTATGTAGGCCAAGAGTTCGAGTGCAACAACTAACACACAAATCTCAAGATGGGCATGAAAGAAGAACCAACTTCAATGCACTTAATTCAAGTTAAGTTAGAAGCAACGAAACTTGGAGTACAGTCGGAAAGCGGTGTGTGGGCAAGCAAAATAGGTTGCACGTACACAGAGGTAAAATTTTAATTCATAACCAAATCAATTGAACGGCGTGCTCCTAGTACAAAAATGTGAAGGCGGTTTAGTTTTCATTTTTCGTTTAGGACTCTATTTGTTTAATGTTTTATGAGTTATTTAGGATTTCTTTCTTATGCCAATATAAATGGCCTTACTATTTCATTGTTAAAAAAATCATTATTTTGAGAGAATTAATAAAGCAAGATTTGTTTTCTATTTGTTCTTAATCGAATTCAATCAGAACTTTTCAAAAATTCATGCTCTTTGTGACACCTATAGCAAGGTTTGTGATTTTTTATAATTAGGGGGTCAAGGTTCATCAATATCTTTAGTTCTTTGATTTAATAAATCATTGGATCAAACTCATTTTAGCTTTCTTAGGGTTTGTTTTAATCTTTTGTGGGTTCCAGAGTTCCTATTGCTATGTGTGTTTACATCAGTAGGCATCAATAGAGATGGCAATTTCAATGTCAAAATCGAAAATCGCGGTTAACCGAACCGAATGGGTCGAAAAAAATCGAACCAATGGTGCAATGGAGTAGATATTGTTTTTATTTTAATGAGCCAGTTCGTGGCGGTGCGGGTATGATATTTACTTCGTCGAACCGATTACCCGCTAAAAAAAAAATAATTGAATTGATTATTGAGATTTACACTACCTTTCTATCTCGTCCAAAACAAAATCTACCTCCCATTACATCTACATGACTCAGTCGGCCAACCCACTTACCATTACCCCATAATAATAGCATTGTATGACAGTATATAAATGCAAACCCTACTCTTCACAAACCACAAACTCATGTACGGCTCCTTTTATTGTTAATTTTTTTCTATTGTGTGTAAAAAATTTTACTTCTTCATCATACTCTAGAGTTTGTGCAACGTTTAGCGAGAAGAAAGCTGACGAAGAGGTACATTTTTTTATTTAAATCTTAGTTAAGACCATTCTGGAATAGGTAGTATATTTGTATTCTCTACTTATGTTTCTTATTTACTATATAGAAATCAATTTTGAGTGTTGATCTATACTAGTAAGACTTGTGGGGAAGAATAAATCAAGTAACCTCGATGCACAACAATTAAGAATGAAGGAAAAGTTTAGTATTGTTAAATTTATAATATTGTTTATTAAATTTGTATTTTACAATTGAAAATTGGCATAATGTTTGCATTTTCGTTTGGAATATTATATTTTTATTTTCATTGAATTTTTTCATAAATTGTTTTATATCAATTTAACGGATGAACCTATAAAAAATAATTTATTTTCGTGGTTATTAACCGAACCAAACCGTATCGAACCTAGATACGAATTGAATTGAACCGATTTACGTGGTTATGGTGCGGTTATGGTATGGTCAAAAAATTGGTGGTGCGGTTATGGTATGGTCAAAAAATTGGTGGTGCGGTTATGGTTTTGGCCGAACCGACCCATAACCGAACCGTTGCCAACCCTAGGTATCAGAGCTCTGGCTGTAAAATCAGGGTTTTATTCTTTTATGCTTCCGTGTTTTCTAATTCTGATTCTTGTGTCTTCTTCGTTCGATCTTCTTTGTCGAGTCATCATCATTTTTTTTTTTGGGTTTGCTGCATTTGTTGATCTTTTCACATATTTCGAGTTAAAAAAAAAAAAGAAAAAGAAGAAAAAGAAGAAGAAGATTGTAAAATATATATATATAATAATAAAATAAAATTCAAGGTAATTGGTTAAGAGAATTTCAAGAAACACCTTGAAATTCATGTGGTGAAATTTTCAGGAAATACAATCTTTCTAGTCATTCAATACCTATATCATCATTTGGTATAAATCTTGTTGAGAAAAGACAGATCAATTCGAAAGTCAAGATAATATTTATTCAATTTCAATAAACACCTTGAAATTATTGTGGTGAAATTTTCAAGAAATACAATCTTTCTAATCATTGAATACCTATATAATCCTTTGGTATCAATCTTATTGAGAAACTGCATAGATCAATTTTAAGAAGCACTTTCTTGAAATTCTTTATTGTATTTTCATTCAATTTCTTTCGTTCTTTCCTTCTCAAGCCATTATCCTTTATTTTTTCCCTTCGGTTCTTGAGGGTTGAACCTCACAAGGGGTTGAATATTTTTATTGAGATTAGTTATTTAGAGAACTTGACTAAGAAAGCATAGAGAGGAAAAATGCTAGAGTGGCGGGCTTCTTATCGAGAAAAAGTCAGTATTGAGTAAAACACTTGAGTGTAAACACGTGAGGCATATAATTCTAGTTATTAAGATGTCTGAAAGAGAAGAATCAATAACTAGGGAGGAGAAGAATCAATCATTCATGTTGAAGGCTATGCAACAACAATTTGAGTGAACGAATGTGGTGTTTAAAGAAATTAGGGATATAATGGATTGGCAGATATGTTGATTGCAAGCTTATAAAGGGGGCTACCTAGAGTACCTGATGTTAGGAGGCAAGATATGCATGATCATATTATAAGAATGAAGTAGAGAATGAGAATGAGGATGACCAAATCTTAGAGGCTGAAGTGCGTAGGATGAGTAATAAAGGAGATAGGTGTCAAAACGGGGCTTAGAGAAGATCTTAGAGACTTTTGTGGAGATTGAATTGGTTGAAATTTGCATAGGATTAAGAAGAAAATTCCTTCATTCCAAGGTAAAAACGATCCTAAAGTTTATTAGGAGTGGAAGAAGAAGTTAGAGTTGATATTTGATTGCTATAATTATTATAAGGAGAAAAAGATAAAACTAGAAGTGATAGAATTTACTGATTATGCTATAATATTGTGGGATCAATTGATAACAAATGGGAGGAGGAATCATGAGAGGCTTATAGAAGCATGGGGTAATGATTTTGCTAGACGATGGGAAGTGGTGAGTGATAGTGATGAGATGTCCAAGTTGGAGGATGTTAGTGATGGCGAAGGCATGCCCTTAGTACACAAATTAAGGTGGATGATATGGAGCAACAGAGAGAACATCTTTCATACTAGCTGCTATATCAACAACAAAGTATGTAGTATAATTATAGATAAGGGGTTTGTATCAATGTAGCTCGTACTACCCTTGTACAGGAAATTGGGATTTTCTATGTTAAAACATCCTAGACCTATAAGTTGTAGTGGTTGAATGAACGTGAAGAGGGCATGTGTAATAAGCTAGTCTTGATGAGCCTTAGTATTGGAGAGTATAGTGATGAGGTGTTGTGTGACGTTGTTTCTATGTATGCTGAGAATATTTTGTTGGGAATTCCATGACAGTACGATAGGAAAGTGATACATGATGGGTATCAAAATAAGTACAACTTTGTGAAAGATGGCAAATAAGTTACTCTTGTTCTGTTAATACCTAAACAGGTCTAGAGGATCAATCGAAGTTGAGAGGTAAGGAAGAGAAGAGAAAGAAATAGAGAGAAAATAGTGAGGTGGTTGGAATTAATGAGAAAAGAGTGAAGCCACAAGAGATAAAAGAGGGTCTTTAGAGAGAAAAGAAAAATCAAAATTAATCATTTTTACAAAAGATAATGAAACAAAGAGGGTCTTAGTGGAAAACCAACATTTGATATTGTTGGTTTATAAGGAATTATTCCATAATTTTGAGAAAACTAACCAACCCCTCCTTACTTTGCTTATTTCTTCATTGCAGGAATTTGAAGACTTGTTACCTAAGGACATTCCTGTTGGGTTACCACCGCATTGAACATCAAATTGATTTTATGCCTGGAGACGTTATTTCAAATTGGCCAGCTCATAGAAGCAATCCTGAGGAGACAATGAAACTTCAAAGGCAAGTGGAGGAGTTGATGAGCAAATGATATGTGAAGGAAAACGTGAGTCCATGCTCCAATGCTACTTGTACTTAAAAGGATGGGACATGGACAATGTGCGTCGATTGTAGAGCGATCAACAATATAATGGTAAAGTATCGTTATCCCATACCTAGGTTAGGTGATTTGCCTGGATCATGTATTTTCAGTAAAACAAATCTTAAAAATGAATATCACTAAATTAGGATGAAAGAAAGAGATGAATAGAAAACGACTTTTAAGACTAAATATGGATTGTATGAATGGTTAGTTATGCCATTTGGACTTATTAACGTACCTA